GAGGAGGAGGAGGAGGAGGAGGAGGAGGAGGAGGAGGAGGGATTCTGCTATGAGGATTCTGCTACCCTGATCTGCTGCGCTATGAGCAAGTGAGCGCAACCGACGAAAGATGGGCCTCACCATCCCCCAGGCCTCTCCTGGGCGACATGGGTTGGCCGCGCTGCGTTGTCACTGATGACGTGCGTCCCAGCTCTTGCAACCCTGCTGTGCACGGCTGCTCCCCTGGCCATTTCGCGCACGAGCTGATCCCAACGTTGAGGCTGATGATGTATGCTCCTGCCCTTGTCGCGTTCTCGCAGTACCAGATCCTGCTGCCACTGCTTTCCCTTCTCGCATTGCCAGCTTCTGCTGCCACTGCGTTGCTTCGCACACGAACGGATCCCAGCGTTGTAACTGATGATGTCCGCTCCCGCACTTTCCTCTTGCTGAGCGGCGGCAGAGACTGCTGCCACCTCTCACCCCTCTCGCACGTGCTGCTCCCAACACTGTTCTGACGACCTCGGGCTCCAGCTTCGCCTCCCGCTTCTCGCAGAGTAGTGCCGGATCCTTCTGTCAGAGTTTGCCCTTCTCGCACGCCCTGATTCCAGCGCTGTAGCTGATATTGGGCTCTAGCTCCGCCTTCCCCATCTCGCTGAGTAGCCACAGAGAGTGCGGCCCCTGCGCAACGTTCTGGCACGCGCTGCACCCAGCGCTGTAGCTGATGACGTCTGGCTGCGGCTTCGCCTCCGCTATCTCGCTGAGTAACGACTATACTTGGGCTCCAGCTTTGCCCCCCGCTTCTCGCATGGGGCCCCGGAGCTCTCGACCCAGCATTTCTCGCACGCGCAGTGCCGAGCAGGTTAGCTAGATAGCATTTGGCTCCAGCTTCAACCCTCGGCCATTTCGCGCATGAGCGAACCCCAGCACTGTAGCTGATGATGCGTCGCCCCTGCTTTCCGCTTGCCCCTTCTGCACGTTCGCACACGAGCTGATCCCAGCGCTGTAACTGAAGATGTCCGCTCCTGCACTTGACATTTTCTCGCAATGCCAGATCCTGCTGCCACTGCATGCCCTTCTCGCATTGCCAGCTCCTGCTGCCACTGCTTGCCTTCGTACCCGAGCTGATCCCAGCTTGGTAGCTGATGACGTTACTCGTGCACTGCTCGCCTTCCTTACATGTCTTCACCTTGCCCTGATCCCAACGCTGTGGCTGATGGCATCGGGCTCGTCCTTGATCGGCCTCCCTCCTCACCGCCGGCTTCCAACGTCGCGTCGGATGTAGCTGACGGCATCGGGCTCGTCAATCACCTGGACACAGTGCCAGCGCCTGCTGCCACTGCCTGCCTTCTTGCTCGCACGGGCTGCTCCCAGCGTTGTTGCTGATCGTGGCCCACCCGCACTTTTCTCGCAGCGCCAGCGTCGGCTGCCACTGCTTGCCCCCTTTCTCCCACGGGCTGCTCCCAGCGGTCCTGCTGATCGTGGCCCACCCGCAGTTTATTCGCAGCGCCAGCGCCAACTGCCACTGCTTGCCTTCTCGCACGGCCTGATCCCTACACTGTAGCTGATCAAGCCCATGTTTTGCCTGCACTTCCGCCGCGGCGCTCGGATGGCCGGCGCTGCAGCTCGCCAGACTGACGAGGGGAAGGGGAAGGAGGAGCAAGAGGACGACGAGGGAAAGGAAGGGAGGGCGGAGGAAGCCCAGTCTCCTGGCGGGTGCGCTCGCGCCTGATCTCAGCATTGTGGCTGATGACGTGGGGCGCCAGGCCTCTCGATGTCGGCTCTCGCCAGCAGGGCCATTTCGAAGTTGGCCCGCGAAACACCCTTGCGCGCCCCGTGCAGGGGGGGCCGCTCGGGCGCGAAATGGCTTAAGAGGAGGAGGAGGGAGGAGGAGGAGGAGAAGGAGGAGGAGGAGGAGGAGGAGGAGGAGGAGGAGGAGGAGGAGCATATTGGAGCATCTTGTGAGGATCTGCGACCCTGTGAGAGCTCGGTGGGCCGTCCTCTGGATGCTCGGGCGGCGTCTTTGAGCTGTTGTGGAGTGGTCTTTAAGTGTATTGGAGTCACCTGGAGGACGAAGTGAGCGCTACAGTCGGCCCGGATCAGTAGGTCGACCCTGCCAAATCAAGGGTGTTCATCTCTTTTGTGTCTCGCGACCCGTGCCTCTTACATTCCCGTGGCAATGTGGCCCTCGGAAGGGTCTTGTGTCCTCTCGCGTCTCCTGTCCAACCAAGTCCGATTGTATCAGGGGAACGAATAATGACATAAACATAAAAACTCGGAGGTCCGCGCGGATTTCGCGGATCGGCGCTGGACCCCCCTCCCTGGCGCGCGGAGCGCGCCAGGGGCGGCGCCAGAGGCGCTGTCAGGGGGTTCCAGCGCGGATCCGAGAAATCCACGCGGACCTCCATTATGTTTATGTCATTCTTCGTTCCCCTAGCTATTGGCGCTGACTGGGGGCGCTTTTGGGGCAGTCTTGGGCCAGATTCGGAGCGTCGGGTCGCTCTCTGAAGTCTTTTCAGCTCAGCGGCGATGGGAAGCCGAACAGCCTCGGAAGCAAGCCACATACGTTTCTTTGGGTGTTTCAATCCTTTCGCCTCTCATGGCCTCGCTGGAAGCTCTTTCAGGCGTCTCCTGGTTGCATTTTGGGGCCTCTTCGGAGCATATCGGGGGAATCTCTGGGCCTGTGGGAGTTCGTTGGGCTGTCTTTGGATGGTCATGCGGTGTCCTATCGCCGTTTGACGTGCCACTGGACGGTGACGGTTAAGACAGTTGAGAGGTGAGCAGGGAGTAGCAAGTATAGAAAGAGAGAGAGAGAGAGAGCGAGAGAAAGAGTATTATCGAAGATGCCTACGGCGAATCATCGCCAGCCCCTGCCTTCCTGGAAACGCCTATGTGGCCGAAAGTTTGGCTAAGCTTGCGGACCATGTGTTCCCCGAGTCGGTCTGGAAAGCCTTCGGGGAACACGTGGGTAGAGACAGAGGAAGTGGAGGAGAGGGAGGAACAAGGAGGAGGAGGAGGAGGAGGAGGACAGGACATCTTGGGAGCATCTGGGGACACTTTTGGGGCCTTCTGGGAGCTTCCGGGGGGCGTCTTGGAGGCCTCTTGGGGGCCTCCTTGGGCCTCTCGGGCGCCTTTGGGGGCTTCTTGGCCTCTCTGGCCGTCTCAGGGCGTTCCTGGCCCGCCTGACGCCGTCGGAAGCCGTCTTGGGTGCCTCTCTGAACCGACTTGGGGCCGCCTTGGGGTGCTCCAGGGCCATCTTGGAGGCCATCTTGGGCGTCTTGGAGTCTGGGGTCCCTCTTGAGGCCGTCTTGAGGGCCTCTTGGGCCGTTCTGGGGCCGTCCTGGAGGCCTCTTGGGCGATCTTTCTGGGCTCTTGGGCCGTCTCGGGCCGTCGGAAGGCCGAAAAGAAGCAAATGCCCAAATCCTTCAAACATTTAAAGGAAACATCAATGATTTTGGCCTCTTCGGGCCTTCCTGGAGCCTCTTGGACTGTCTTGGAGGCCTCTTGGGGGCTTCGTGGGCCGTCTTTGGCCATCTTGGTGGGCTCCTGGCCCGTCTGAGGCCGTTGGAAGCTGTCTTGGGGGCCTCTCTGGGCCGACTGGAGGGCCGTCTCGGAGGCCATCTTGGGCGTCTTGGAGGCATCCGTCTTGTCGCCCTCCGGGGGCGGTCTTGGGGCCTCTTGGGCCGTTCTGCGGCCATCCTGGAGGCCTCTTGGGCGATCTTGGGGCGATCTTTGGGGGCTCTTGGGCCGTCTCGGGCCGTCGGAAGGCCGAAAAGAAGTATTCCTTCAAACACCTCAGGATAATCAATGATTTTGGCCTCTGCGGGCCTTCCTGGAACCCTCTTGGAGGCTTCTTGGGCCGTCTTGGGCCATCTTAGAGCCATCTTGGACCGTCTTGGTGGACTCCTGGCCCGTCTGACGCCGTCGGAAGCTGTCTTGGGGGCCTCTCTGGGCCGACTTGGGCCCTCTTGGGGTGCTCCAGGGCCGTCTTGGAGGCGTCCTGGGGCGTCTTAGAGCCCTCTTGGGGCCGTCTTGGGGGAGCCTCTTGGGCAGTCCTGAGGCCATCTTGGAGGCCTCTTGGGCGCTCTGGGGGCGATCTTGGGGGCCCCCGCGAGGCCCCTCCTTGCCCGCGCCCCCCTCGAGGCCCCCGTCGATGCTACCCCCCCCAAAGCCCCTCTCGAGGCTCTTCGCTTTCCCGCCCCCTCCTGGGGCCCCGCGGCCCCCGGCCCCCCGCGCCCCCAGGCGCAGCTCCAGGCCTGGCGCCGCTGGCCCTCCCGCAGCAGCGGCTCCGGGTCCGGCGTCCGCCCGGCCACCCTGGAGGGGCTGCTGGACGTCGGCGGCGCGCAGAGGGGAGGGCGGGGGTGGCAGGGCGAGGAAAACGAGGAAGCGTACGAGGAGGAGGAGGAGGAGGAGGAGGAGGAGGAGGAGGAGGAGGAAGAGGAGGAGGAGGAGGAGGAGGAGGAGGAGGAGGAGGAGGAGGAGGATGAGGAAGACCAGTGTAACCCCCCCAAGAGTCGTCAACGATGTTGGAATAAACCCTCCCTCCAAGCTCCCTCTTCATGGGCCCCTACAGCGGTTCGTTTCCATTGGAGGAACTGCCTCTTTGGAAGACAACCGTTTGAAGACCCTGAAGCATGCCAGAACATGGTTCTCGGGATTCCAACGCCACGGATCAACCTAACTGTTGCATCTTCACAATCCTGAGTCGTGCCAGAACGCCATTCCTGGGACTTCAACACAAAGAATTAAGATAATTGTTGCACCCGCATAATCCTGAATGCTTTCAAGACACCATGTCTGGCACGTTGATCATGGGAATCCGTGAAACTCTCGCAAAGGTTTTGAGCGAATGTGCGCCGCGCTAAGGCGAGAACCGCATTTTGAAAAGGAACCGCCCTCAACCCGTGAAGCTCTTGCAAATTGTTCAAACGAATGTGCGCCGCGCTCTAAGGTGAGAGTCACTGAAAACCACCTGCCCTTAATCCGTGAAACTCCTGCACCTTTTTGAAAACGAATGCGCGCCGCACTAAGGCGAGAGCCACACTTTGAAAACGACCTGCCCTCAATCCGTGAAGCTCTTGCAATTCTTTCAAACGAATGTCCGCCGCGCTAAGGCGAAAATCACATTTTGAAAAAGAGCGCCCCTAATCCGTGAAACTCTTGCAAATGTTTAAAACGAATATGCGCCGCGCTAAGGCGAGAACCACATTTTGAAAGCGACACGCCCTTCATCCGTGAAGCCGTTGCCAATTTCTAAGCTTCAGAGTCATAAATGGTGAGGAAGTCTCAGGCGAAACGCCAGGCCTGCCCTAAAAAACTGGCCTCAGGGTGCGACAGGGAGAATTTAGTTATTGTAAGGACAAGGAATGGAGGAGGAGGAGGAGGAGGAGGAGGAGGAGGAGGAGGAGGAGGAGGAGGAGGAGGAGGAGGAGGAGGAGGAGGAGGAGGGAGAGGAGGAGGAGGAGGAGGAGGCGGAGGCGGAGGAGGAGGAAGAGGAGGAGGAGGAGGAGAAGGAGGAGGAGGAGAAGGAGGAGAAGGAGGAATGATAGCGCTACAATTTCGAGCTAAAGGGTGTTTTGGCGACTCCGTAGAGCGTTTTCGTTCCGGCTCCCTCTTGCAGCAAAGGCAGAATGAAGACACAGCGAGGGAGAACGGAAACACAGCAAACGCAGAAAACACTGTTTAGCTCGAGTCATGCAACGGGGAGGGGGGTGGGCGGGTGGCAGGGCGAGGAAAACGAGGAAACGGAAGAAGAAGAAGGGGAAGAGGAAGAGGAGGAGGAGGAAGAGGAAGAGGAAGAGGATGATGAGGAGGAGGAAATGGAGAGGGTCAAGCCAGCCAGCTCGAACGAGTCAGCGGGCTTCCGCCGTTCCGTAGCATTAACATGATATTCCATGCCATGACAATTGGATCTTAGGGCTGGTGCGTGCTCCCACCGAGCGAACAGCAGGCGCTCGCGCGCACCGCTGCGGAAGCAAAACTCCGAGAACATCCCTGCGCGTCGTAGAGTCAAAAACACAACAGAGCTCTGTCGCGCGCAGACAGATCTCCGACAGGATTGGCCAGGGCCACACATGCGCCGCGCCAGGACGCGTCTTCCAAGCGAACCTTGCGAAAGCGAAGGCGGTATTTAGTCTCCAGGGGGTGGTCCCACTTCCGACGACTGGGCGAGCGAACATATGCTCCGCGCCCGAACGGGAGCGCCACTTGGGCGAAGTCCACACGGCACTGGGGCTAGATCGACATTTCATCCGCTCGCGCGCGGCCCCGCGCCTGACGAATTCGCAGACGGAACAGGTGTGCCCCGCCCATGCGGGAGCGCAGCTTTCATGAGAAAGTGCGCGTTGCTGAGGCGAGAGCAACATGTCACGTCCTTGCTCGGGATGTGCGCCTCGCCCCATTCTTGCCCCGCGTTTTGCACCGTCGACGACGGGATATCTTCGCTCAATGGAGGCACCGCCGACTTTGTATTTTTTATTGATGGGTCGGATGGATGGTCTCATATTGAATCGCTTTCGGCCTGATCGGCGGCAGAATGAATGGGATTAGGTATTGACACATAGTACGTAAGGATGGTGGACGAGAAAGAGGAGGATGGGAGGAGGGTGGGAGGATTCTAGCGAAGATCCCCGTGGTGCCGATTCTGACGGCGCAGCGCACCAGGCCACCCGAACAAGAGCTGACGCCAGCGATGGCAGCCTTGGCGCCCCTCATTTTTTCTTTTCTTCCTGACATGGTCGCCGTGCTCATCGCGACGATCCCATCGGCGGCATCACCACTGTTCCAGGTGACGCGTGTCGTGAGGTAGCAATTCGACGACCTTCTCCTCCAACCTACTCGCAGGCGTGGGAAGAGGATGCTGATGCTGCTGCTAATGATGATGATGAGGAGGTGTAGGATTAGATGAGTGGGATGATGATGCTGCGGCTGATGATAATGATGCAGGCGATGATGATGAAATTGGTGATGCTGATGCTTATGATGATGATGCTCACGATGAGGATGAGCATAATGGTGCTGATGATGACGATGATGACGATGATGACGATGCTGATGACGATGATGATGATGATCAGGATGCCGCTGCTTATGATGATTGTGGTGACGATGACAATGCCGATTCAGATGATGGCGATGATGCCGGCGATGATGATCATGATGATAATTATGATGGTGGTGGTGGTGGTCGTAATGATGATGATGATGATGATGATGATGATGATGATGATGATGATGATGATGATGATGATGATGATGATGATGGTGATGATGATGATGATGATGATGATGATGATGGTGGTGGTGGTGGTGGTGGTGATGATGATGATGGATGATGTTGATGCTGATGGCGATGGTGATGTTGATGATGATGATAATTATGATGATGCTGATAATGATGACGATGCTGATGCTGATGCTGATGCTGCTGATGATGCTGATGCTGCTGATGATGCTGCTGCTGCTGATGATGATGATGATGATGATGATGATGAGCAGTAGCAGCAGCAGCAGCAGCAGCAGCAGCAGGAGGATTACTGTGATGCTTCAGACAAGGAGGAAGATTACGCGAAAGACGAGGATGAAGAGGATGAGGACAACATTTTTGATGCGTTTGGTGTTTTTTGCTGCCTCGGGGGACTCGTGGCCACGGCTTGGCGCAGCTCGAGATCGAAAAATAAGCAGGATGGTGTCCAGGAGGTTTCCAGGAATTTGTTTTGACGGAGGATGGATCTGGTCGACTATCTTATCGAAGACGCCTGCTGCGAAACACCCCCGCCCCCTACTTACGCAGGACGAGAGATTTTCCTCTTGCGGTGCAGATAACAGAGTAACTCATCGCAGCCAAATGGCGATGATGAGTTGGACAGATAACATCGGCGCCGCCGAACGGACGGCGTCTGGACGAGCTGCGTGCAGCAACCGGAGGGAGAGATATGCATTCACGTTGAGTGGGGCCCGCGTGCGCGGAAAGTGAATGTGAGCGCGCGGGACAGGTGAGTTGAGGATCCATCTGATCAAGTTAATGACCGAAACCCCTTCCCCCGTAATAAATCCTAAACGGGGTACAAATCGGATCCGCCGTAAGAAATAAGACCGATCACGGATCCAGAAAATCCGAAATCGGATCCGCGCGGACGGGAATCGGATCCACTGGAACAAACACCAAAACCACAATTGGTTCCGCGCGAACTTCATGGGATTTGACAGCGGTTACCTCACACGCGTCTGCTCAAGATTTCCGGCCGTCGTTCCGGGCCCAAGAGGAAAAAACTTCCGTTCTGGATATGTATTTTCTGGGCACGCCGTTCATACAGAAGCGCAAATGTTGTTAAACGTGGGGCCAACGTCGGGCTAAGCTATCGGACTGTGGCTCCCCCCAGCCGCCGCCGTTGTGGAAACCTTTGACGGAGCACCTGGGTGAGGAGGGGTGGGAGAGAGAGAGAGGGATATGGAAAGAGAGAGAGAGAGAGAGAGATAGAGCGACAGATGTGTGTCTCTCTCTCTCTCTCTATATATATATATATTTAAGCATATAGTGAATAGGTATCCGTAGAGAATGTATCATGTGTATCGTGTATCCGTAGGGATCCGTGTGTATGTCGGTCTATACAGGTATATATGTAATCATTCTCCGTAAGGGCTTCGCCCCCTGCCGCCGGCCCCCTTTCTCGGATAATGGGGTGTGCAAGAGCTGTGTTGTGAGGCCTGGGCGCCGTCGTGAAGCAGCGTCGGAACTCCGGGCGGACTTGGGGCGAAACATTGCATCAGCGGACCCAGGGAGAGATTCGGGGAACGAGTTTACGCGGAGAAGCCCGTCGGATTTTTTGGAGGTTTGTTGTGGTGGGGGGTGTTCCGGGCCCCTCCCCTGTCGCCGCGGCAGGATGCATTTGGGAAAACGATTGCGACTGGATTCCTCGAAGGGTCCGGGGGGTCCATGGTGAACGATTTCTGTGTGGAAAAAAACACACACACACACATATATATATATATATATATATATACATAGAATTTTCTTGCAGGGTCTTAATCTTTTCAGTTTTTTGTGGTTCTCGTCGTCGAAGGGCCGCCTCCGGGCCCCGGGGTCGTTCGGGGGCATTGTGGATCCCCGTCAGGGCCTCTTGGCTGCATTTAGGCGCCCTTTCATGTTGTCTCGGGGCGAAGTGTTCGAATTCTCCACTCGGGTTTCCCTTCTTACCCTCCTCTGGGGGCCGTCCTGGGGCTCTCCCTGGTGGCTTCGGGGGCCCTGTCGGGGCCCGTTTGTGCCGTCTGGGAGCCTTCTTGGGGGCGTGCCAGGGCTTTTGGGTTGATTTTGGGATTCGTGGAAGCTCAAG